GGCGGGGCGCCCCCCCTTTGCGCCCGGCGCCCCCGCCGCTCCGCTCTCATTGGCTATCTCGGCCCCGGCGGTGCGGGGGCTCCTAAGGGGCGGGCAGAGCCGAGCGTCCCGGGCGCCTGCGCCGCGGCCGGCTGACTCGCCCGGGCTTGGTCCCCTGGAGCGCCGCGGGGCGCGGGCAGGGACTGGAACCGGAGGAGGAGCTCCAGTCTGCGCCGGCGGCTCCCCGGGCTGGAAGCGCGGCCCGGTGGGGGGTGACGGCGCTTATCGGAGCTGGAGGCTTGTCCGGTGGGGGGACCGCCCATCCCCCGTCAGCTGCCAAGTACAGAGCAGCTCCGGAACGCGGGTTCCGTATCCCCGAGACCACACAGGGCGTCTGCAAGAGTTCGTGTGCGGATCCGAAGGCTTCTGCAGCGCCTCCACACCCGTACCTGCTGCGGCAGTCATCCCAGGGAAACGCATCCTTCAGGGCCTGGCCTCGCGCTCCAGCTGCCCGGCACTCCCTCAGCCTCCCCTGCCCGACCCAGGCGGTTCTGACATTCAGGACCTGCTCTGCATTCTGAGGTCCAAATCGTTTTCTCACTGGTTTGAACCCAGAAGTAGGTTTCTTAGGAGACTAGAACTTTGCACTCACAGGTCTGTGCCCCTGAGAATGGCTGGTTCTCTTTCAAATTCCTGTCTGCAAAGTAAGCAGAATAATCTCTGCTTGATCTGACTGGGGCTAGACCTGACACAGCACACTCTTAAATGGTGAGCTAATGGGGTTGAACGAGATGCTATTTGTAAGAAAGTCAAAGGGCAGTTCTGCATTAATTACAGTAAGCAGTGTTCTTCCAACTTGCCACATTTATTTACACGCAGTTTAAACACTTACTCTAAGAAACCACTTTCCCACCCCACTGAATATTTACAGATTTCTTCCATGGACACAAAACCCAAAACAAGCAAACCGAAGTGATTCCTCTATGTCCTCCTTTAATTCCCCAGGGCCTCTGCAGTCACTGAAGCCTGGCTGCCCTTCATCGCCTCCCCCTCTTTCAGCAGAGGAATCAAGGTTGCAGAGGTAGCAGTGAATTACCATCCCAGTTTGCTTTGACGTTTTCCATCCACTGGGTCACAGAGGAAGCCACCACGGAGCCCGACAAAGTTGGTACTCAAAAATGTGGGATGCGTTAGCTCGAGTGTGGTGATTAAAGGATTAATGAGTAGTGGTTAATGGAAATGAGGGCCCTGAGTGGACAGGGTCATATGGCTGCCTAGCTGACAGACACGCTGACAGCCATGGGGTTCTCTAAAAACTTTCTGCAACTGTTTACTTGCATTTATTTAAACAGTCACTACGAGATACTTTAAAATGTCAAGAGTTAATATAAGATAACTACGAACAGTTCATGACACCAAACTCAATTGTTTATGACATCCGGTATCTGAAAAGCAAACCTAGGCATTGAATTCCCCATGACGCCAGGGCTCCAGTTCTTTTTCACTGGTGTCATTTCCACCTGATTCTGACACACTCTGGTGAGCCAGAAGAGTGACTTTGGCCGTTCATGAAAACCAGCGGTCAGTTTCCGAGACGCTGGGGCGGGAGGCTGATGTCTGCGAAACGCAGTCTTTAGTCAATCTTTTACAATGAACTGGCTTCTGCTCAGCCTCCCCCTCTCCCTGAGGTAGGTGAGCAGGTGCTGTCGTCTCCTCCAAGTGACCTTCAGCCCGTACTTCTCCTCCGGGGTGTCCTTCACCAGCACTGGTCCAGGCTCTGGGCTGCTGGGGGCACGGATGTGAAGGGAGCAGCTCGGAAGCCTGTTCTCTCTCTGGTCTGGGGTGGACTTCGTGGCTGGCGACGACCCTGGGGTCTGGATGTCCGGGGGAATGAGCAGGCAGGGGAAGCTCGGAAGTGGCTGCTCCGACAGTTCCCCACAACTCTGCGGACTGAGCATGGGAACCAGCGGCCTTCTGGAAGCGTCCTTGACCGACGGATTGGGGTGTCCCCTGATTAAGGGAACCCTCGGTGTCTCTGAACTGCAAGCAGACTGTGGACTCTCGAAGGCTAGGTGTGGAAACCTGGAGGAGCTAGATTTCCGGCACGATCGTCTGGCCTGGTCGCGGTGCTGTTTCCGGTGGGCTGGGACCCAGCTTTCAGCTGTTGTGTCAAACTGCGGCAATACCTAAGGATAGAGGAAAAGGAAAAAAAGTAGGCAGGCCAACTACCATGCACTAACCTAGAAGATGAAACTAAATTTTGGGGGGGAACCAGCAGTTAGCGTAATGGCTATGTTGCTGGACTCCCATGTAGTCGACCATGGTTTGAGTCCCGGACCCAGTGGCTTAAACTCATGCCGGAGGAGAAGGGATTGCGGTGTGGCCATCCCCCGGGGGGGTGATTTCTCGCTTTCTGTCTCTGTCTTTCTGGCGAGTGCATGCCCTATAGCAAAAACCTTTTGAGACTTTTGCTCTAGGACATGTACACTCATCAGAGACAGAAAGCAAGAAATCACCAGTGGGATGGCCACATCGCTGTCTCTTCTCTATTCTCCTCTCGGGATTTTGGGCGCACACACACACAGACCCAGCATGAGTTTCAAGCCGCAAGGTCTGGGACTTGAACTGCAGTTGACTACATAGGAGTCCAGTGACGAAACCATTATACCATCGGCTGATCTCAGGAAGAAACTGACTCTAATGACGAGAATCTTAAAGGTGGGTCCACTGTAGTAACAGACACAAAACAAAAATAGCTGTATGGAGATGGCCCTGTTGCCTAGTGGTTAAGGGGAGCTGGATCCCACATGGCCCATCATAGTTCAAATCCCAGCCCCGGTGGCTTGAAAAATACCAGGCCCATGTGTGTGCACGTGTACTCAAAATCCCGACAGGATGGAGAAATGGGGGATAAGGGATTACTGGGGGGAATGCTCTCTCTCCTCTTTGGTGAGTGGACACACCCTCTGGCAATTAAAAAAATGAACTGTTCAATGAGCTAATAATAAAAAGACCTATAAGCTTTGGACAAGTTATAAAATCTTTCGGTTTTCGTTTTCTTGCAAGAGAGGGGACAGTGCCTTCACTTCATCACACCGTATGGTTGCAGTTGTGTCACTGCCGGCCTCTAAACTTCACGAGGGCAGCGGCCGGCAGCTTGCTCACCACTGACCCCCACACCAGCAGAGTGCCCGGTGCGAGAAGGCTCTCAGCAAACAATGCACGGATGATGCAGCCCTGAGAGAGGCCGTGTGTGGGGCTACTAGCACAGGCCCGGGCATGACGAGTGGCCAGCCTGTGCTTCCTGGTCTCGGCCACAAGGCTCAAATGATGGTTTCTTCCACGATTCCTAACAAAGTATGTTTCTTTTCCTCTGTTTTAGATTTTGCCATAGGGTGCATGTGCTCGCCAGAGAGAGCACTGGGCAAGCGGGAAAGTGAGGAATCACCCCCACGTTGGGGGAATGGCCACTCCACAATCTCTTCTCTCTCTGCTCTCTGGATTTGGAGCAGGCCGAACACATGCACAGGCTCAGATCTGGGACTCAAAGCACGCCAGTGACCATGTGGGATCCAGCGCCTTAATCTCCACACCACTTGCTGGTCCAAGGTATATTTCTTTCTTTTTCTTTTTCTTAAGAATGATTTAATTTGGGGGCTAGCAGATGGCATAATGATTACGTCACTGGACTCCCACATAGTTGACCATGGTTTGAGTCCCAGACCCAATGGCTTAAACCTCATGCTCTGTGTGTGTGTGTGTGTGTGTGTGTGTGTGTGTGTGTGTGTCCAAAATCCCAAGAGGATGGTGGAGGAGAAGGGACTGCATCATGGCCACACCCCTGGGGAGTGATTTCTTGCATTCTGTCTCTCTATCTCTGTCTAGCAAGCACACAAGCCCTGTAACAAAAATCTCTCTCTCAAAAAAAGAGAATTATTTCATTTTGATTATTTTAATTTGCTATAGGGCATGCACGCTCAACAGAGAGTGAGTGAGAGAGAGAGAAAGAGAAAGTGAGAAAGAAAGCCACGAAGTCCAGTACTCAAACCAGTCAGCCATGTGGGAGTCTGGCACCCCAACCACCATGCCATCTGCTAGTCCCCCCAAGGTATATTTCTTTTATAAAAAACGATTTATTTAATTTTTATTTATTATTATTATTATTTTAATTTGACCATAGTGAGACAGAGAGGGAAAGCGAGAAAGCAAGCTGCTAGGGTCTGGACTCAAACCACAGTCAGCCATGTAGGAATTCAGTGCCCCACCTACCACACCACCTGCCAGCCCGTCTTATTAATGTTTTTGCCATCGGGTACGAGCGCTCACCAGAGGGACAGAGAGAGACAGTGAGAGGACAAGTGAGAAATCACCCTCTGGGAGGATGGCCATGACGCAGCCCCTTCTCCTCCTTCCCCCTTCAGGGACTCTGAGCACACATGTCCAGCATGAATGTCAAGCTGCTGGATCCGGGTCTCACACCGTCGCTGGCCATGTGGGAGTTCAGCATCTCAACCACCACGCCCGCTGCCCCTCCCACCCCAGTATATCTCTCAGCCCCTAAAGCAGCTCCTGTGCTTGTCTGGCCCTTCGTTGTTACTTCCCGTCACGTAGTAACTGTCTTCTCTTCTCTGGGCGTGGGAGCTGTCAAATATGACCCCTGCCATTGCGGTGGACTTCTCAAGGCTCAGTTTACGCAGGAGAGAGTCCCTCCGAATACTCCATCGTGCACCACTTCAGGGGACAGTGTACTTTCCCTCCTCTGCCATCTGGCCTTCTCACCTCACAGGACAGTGACACTAAACACTCAGCTCTTTCAGAGCCATGTCGGGAAGGAGACCCCAACTCCACGCATTCCCCCATTTGACTGAGAAAGGATCTACCAGGGAAGACGGCTGACCACACCTGAAAGGGTGCGCTTCCTCCTGGGCCCTTACTCTCTGGAGGCCGTGACTCGAGGGGCAGGAGAGCCAGCATTCTGGAAGGCCTAAGGGAATACAAGCCAAGGTAAGACCCGGGGCCTACCCAGGACGTGACGGTGCTGCGGTCGATGGGCTTGCTGGGCACCTGCCGGGTGTGAGTGACAGGGCGCCGCGGCGAGGCACAGTGGTGTTTGGGCCCCTCCAGTGGTGGCTGGTGGAACAGCAGCTGGGCTTTCTGGGAACACTGGCGGCGCTTCTTCCTGGGAGGCATCAATGGGTGACTGAGGAGCAGTTAGTGACCACATGGTGCTGGCTGTCTTCGTGGTGGGGCACAGGCTCCAGGTCCGACCCACGCCTGCAGAGAAGAAGGGAAGGCTGGAAGGAGGGCAGTCAGCTGTGCTCCCGCCATTCCGGCTGAAGCTCCCGCCCCGCCTCGGGCTGAGAGGCACAGCTCCCCACACCTATACCGCAGGGCCAGACAGGGTGGTGGCCTGCAGGTGGGTGGCGGCCAAGGCGCTGGATTCCCGCATGGCCAACCATGGTTCAGGTCTTGGACCCTGCGGCTTGAAAATCACACTGGGGCCGGCAGGTGGCGTGGTGGTTAAGGTGCTGGACTCCCACATGGCCAACCACAGTTTGCATCCACACCTGGTGGCTTTCTTTCTCACTCTTCCTGTGTGTCTCTCTCTAGTTAAATATAGTAATAAAAAATGAATTAAATTAAATCTTTAAAAAATCACATTAGGTGTGTGTGCAAGCGTGCCCCAAATCCCAAGAAGACTGGAGAAGAGACTGTAGTGTGGCCACCCCTCCCTCAGGGGTGATTTCTCACTTTCCTTCTCTGTTTCTCCAGTGAGCATACACACCCTGTGGCAAAAAAAAAAAAAAACAAATAAACTAACTAACTAAAAAAAAACCCTAGTACAGTCGTCCTTCAGTGTCCATGAGATTGCTTCTAGACTCGCAGGTAGCACCCCCATGCTCAAGTCCCTTCTAGAAAATGGCCTGAAACTTGCACACAGCCTACACATCCTCCCTGCCTGTCCATCCTTCCTCCTTTCCTTCCTTGCTTTTTCTTTTCTTCTCTTTTTCCTTTCCTTTCTTTTGCTATAGAATGTGTGAACTTGCCATAGATAAAAAAGTCACCTCCTGGGACCAGCAGTTAGCGTAATGGCTATGTCGCTGGACTCCCACGTGGTCAACCACGGTTTGAGTCCCAGACATGGTGGCTTAAAACTCACACTGGACACGTGTGCGTGCGTGCCCAAGATCCCGAGAGGAGAATGGAGGAGAAGGGATTGCGGCGTGGCCATCCCCCTGGGGGGTGATTTATCACTTTCTCTCTCTCTTTCTGGCAAGCGCACGCGCCCTACAGCAAAAACTTCTCCAAAAAAAGAAAAAAAAGTCACCTCCCCAGGGGGATGGCCACACTATAATCCCTTCTTCATTCTCCTCTTGGGATTTTGGACTCGAACCACGGTTGGCCATGTGGAAGTCCAGTGCCTTACCTGCTGGCCTCTCCTCCTGGGATTTTGGGCACACACATGTACCGAGCATGTTTTTCAAGCTGCAGGGTCTGGGATTCAAACCACATAACCATGTGGGATCCAACTGCTTTAACCACCTCGCCACCAGCTGCCCCCACACCCCCCCCCCCCCCCCCCGTCCTTTAAATGATCTGGATTACTTATAATAGCTAATACCACATGAATGTGATGTAATAGTTGTTACTGGTATACCTGTATTGTTTTTATTGGTATTACTATTTTTATAAAGAATTATTTATTTAATTTTATTTATTCATTCATTTATTTTAATTTGACCAGAAAGAGACACACAGAGAGAGAGGGAAAGTGAAAAAGCATGCCACCAGCTCCAGGACTTGAACCATGGTCAGCCATGTGGGAATGTCCAGCGCCTTAACCACCACGCAACCTGCTGGTCCCCGGTATTACTATTTTTTTAAGAGAGATTTTTGCTATAGGGCATGCACACTCACTAAAGACAGACAGAAAGCGGAAATCAACCCCCAGGGGGGATGGCCAGGCCGCAATCCCTTCTCCTCCATTGTCCTCTCAGGATTTGGGGCACGCACATACGTGCCTAGTGGGAGTTTTAAGCCACTGGGTCCGGGACTCAAATCAAGGTCAACTGCGTGGGAGTCCAGCGACGACATCTGCTGGTCCCTATTGGTGTATTTTTTACTGTTCCCTGCCCCCCCCCACACACTCCCAGTAATTCCAATCTGTGCTTGGTTGCTTCTGCAGATGTGGAGCCAACCATGTTCATACTCAATGACATTCACTCAATAAACACATTTATTTATGTCCTTCATGAGAGAAAGACAGAGACAGGGACCGTCCGGGATCATCACGCCTCGCTCCTCCCTCTCCAGCCAGGGCATGGGCACACCCAGCAGGCTCAGCACCCTGACTGCCCCCAGCTGTGCCCATTCTGTAGACTACGTGTAGGTGCCACCTGGGGTGCAGGAGTGGACGTGGAAAGATCCATCCCTCCCACGATCACTGAGTGTCCCGGGAGTGATAACAAGGCCCTTTTTTAATGAGCCGAGAGAGAATTACAATGTGATCGGAGAATGCAGTGTGCTTCCACTCACTTCGGAGGAGGCTCCCTGCAGAGATGCCCAGCCAGGTAGGGAAGGGCTGGGAGAAGCCAGACAGCAGGGAACACGCCAGCTCTAGGAGCAGCACCTCCAGGGGGTAGGCCCAAGGAGGAGTGCCGGGAATTCAGGAATAACAAAGTCCTTGGCTGGGCCAGCAAGGGGTACGGAGGTTAAGGTGGCTAGATCCCACAGTCAACTGCACGGTTTGAGACTCGGATCGGGCGGCTTGGAGAACACGCCAGGCACATGTGTGTGCATGCCCCAAATAGAGGAGAAAGGATTGCAGCGTGGCCATACCCCGGGAGGGGATAGGGGGGATTTCTCACTTATCCCTCTCTTTTTCTCTCTGTCTCTCCCTGGCGAGCATATGTGCCCTGTGCAAAAAGAAAGAAAAATAAAAGATGAGGGGCCAGCAGATGGAGTAGCAGTTATGTCGCTGGACTCCCACATGGCTGATCGTGGTTCGAGTCCCAAACCTGGTGGCTCAAAACTCAGACTGGGTATTAGGGCCGGCAGGTGGCATGGTGGTTAGGGGCGCTGGACTCCCACATGGCTGACCACGGTTCGAGTCCTGGACCTGGCAGCTTGCTTTCACACTCTCTCTCTCTCTCTTACTCTCTCTTACTCTGTCTCTCTCTCTCTCTCACTCTGTCCCTCTCTGGTCAAATTGAAATAAGTAAATAAATAAATGGGTAAATACAGTTAAATAAAATCAAAAAGAAAAAGAAACTCACAGAGCGCATGTGCATGCATGCCCAAGATCCTGATAGGATAACGGAAGAGGAGGGATTGGGATGGGGGCTT